TTTTTTATTGCTCTTAGATTGGTGGACGAGCTCACAGCCCACCTGGTGTTAAGTGGTTACTGGAGCCCATAGACATCTACAACGTAAATGCGCCACCCACCTTGAGATATAAGTTCTAAGGTCTCAAGTATAATTACAACGGCTGCCCCACCCTTCAAACCGAAACGCATTACTGCTTCACGGCAGAAATAGGCGGGGTGGTGGTACCTACCCATGCGGACTCACAAGAAGTTCTACCACCAGTAAAAGATTACGTTCAAATATTCCGTTACAAACAAACCAACATACACATCGAACTAATAAACATGTGGTAAAAAGGATAAATTGGTGACAGCTGAACTTTACAAGCGGTTTCCATGCAATATCTTCTTTGCCCGCCCCTAGGAATTTCACCTGGACCAAAATCATTAATTTAATAAAAAACATTATATGTATTCAATACATTTTGCATTTACCCGGGATAAAGAGTTCCTTGTGTCTATAAGAACGGTTGCTCTTCATCTGCTACCTACCCTCATCCGACATCTTTTGAGGTCGGGGCAACGTGTCTTATCATGCTGCATGGTTTGGAATGAGTCTTACGACCACCTTACTATTTACTGGTGGTAGGACCTCTTGTGAGTCCGCGCGGGTAGGTACCACCACCCTGCCTATTTCTGCGGTGAAGCAGTAATGCGTTTCGGTTTGAAGGGCGGGGCAGCCGTTGTAACTATACTGAAACCTTAGAACTTACGTCTCAAGGTGGGTGGCGCATTTACGTTGTAGATGTCTATGGGCTCCAAACCAACCACTTAACACCAGGTGGGCTGTGAGCTAGTCCACCCATCTAAGCAATAAAAAATACCCGCCTCTCTGACGTCAAAAATTTAGTCTGATATAGACTATCTCAAAGAGAAGATATGGGGATCTGAAGGTTGTCGATAAGAGAAACGGTAGGGCAAAGCAGTAATTCATTCCGAAGGCTGAGACGGCCATTGTTCTTTAGAACTGACACTTAGAACTCTAGCCCGGCGATGGCATTTATGTTGTAGATGCCTATGGGCTCCGGTAACCACTTAACACCAGGTGAGCCTTGAGTTCATTCACCTATTAAATTTTACCATGAAATCCTAACTACGATTTTTATATTAAGAATTAGTTAGATGTTGTTGTTAAGGTGTGTGTGTGTGTGTGAGCGTATGTGTGTATATATATATATATTACTTTTATTGCTTAGATGAATGGACGAGCTCACAGCTCACCTGGTGTTAAGTGGTTACTGGAGCCCATAGACATCTACTACGTAAATGCGCCACCCACCTTGAGATATAAGTTCTAAGATCTCAGTATAGTTACAACGGCTGCCCTACCCTTCAAACCGAAACGCATTACTGCTTCACGGCAGAAATAGGCAGGGTGGTGGTACCTACCCGCGCGGACTCACAAGAGGTCCTACAAGGTATTTAGGCATTTGTTTACTTGTTATAATTTTTCTGTATGTACCTGTTTTGAATTGCAATCTAGTTGTTATGTTAAATATTTAAACTTATAATTTCTATGGTTGTAATTTGTTTAATGCATCAATAAAAAAAAATAAAAAAAACAATATGTGTACCTCGAGACAGATGTTCGAGATAATATTGCCGTGTGCATCGGATTCGTTCGCATCGTATATAGATTAAATTTTCTCAAATCCGCGCCGAGCGTACATTTACTGTACAACGAAGCGAACAGCTTTCTCTCTTTCGTGACATATACAAAAACAAAACATTTATAAGAAGATTTATGCTTAAATTGTTTTAAAACCATAACGGCATGCTAATTCGTGAATAAGTGAGGAAATAAGTGATAATACAAAAAAGAATTACTTAATCACAATCTGCCACAATCACATTATCACAAGATTGTCATGTGCTTTTTGTTTTTAGTATGAAAAGTTATTAGAATGAGATAGAGAAATAAATAAATAATTGCTTAAAAAAACTAACAAAAAACGCTTTTATAGAAAATCCAACTAAACGCTTTCTTTACAATAAAATCATTTTGTCTTACATTATTTTTAATTCAAATTTATGAAAATTTATTTTCTATTTTTTTAGTGTTATTTTCTATAAAAGCGTATTTTGTTAGTTTTTTGAAACTATTATTTAATTTTCATCTTTAGTTGAATTTAAATTTTTTCAATTTCTTTTTTCATTTTTTTTAAATATTATATTGTCATCGGTCCTTAATAAGTATACCAAATTTCGAGTTAATCCGACGTTTTGAAGGGGGTCAAAATCATGTTCAAAGATTCCGTTACAAACATACATACGTCTGAAGCTAATAATAGCGTATTAAAAAGGATGAAAGAGCTATAGGCACTACATAATCGCAAAAAGTATTTTATTTAAAGCTGTTAAGAAAATGCAATCGATGTCTCCACGTTTTACTACAGCAATAATTTTAGGTCATATTGACGAAATTAGTTTGGACTACGTAGACATGTGAGGTCTTGTACACTGTCACTAACTACTCTAGTCATTAAATATATATAAATTTCATAACTCAGCATACTTCAATCAGTTAACAACTGCTCAATTCATATCATACCCTGTGCCTATGCTGGCGCCATTCTGGAGGATTTTGAACTGTTATTTAGTGCTAAAAGTGGGACACTTTTTCAAGTTTCTCCCATATGAGACGGTTCTCCTTACCCCCGCCCTCCATTTTTGAGATCCCTACGTGAGAAATGACATGATCTATGACATTAAAATAAATTACCGCCGAAAAAAGATGAAGTGAAAAAAGGTTAATTGCAAAAAAAAAAAGCGTTATATTAAAAAATCTTAATCGTTAATCATTTGTTGTTCTATAACTATATAATATAAGTTAGTTTTTTTAAACTATTATTTATTTATTTCTCTATCTCATTCTAATAACTTTTGTTGACTTGTTGTTGTTGTTGATTGATTGTATTGACATTTCTTCTTTTCTTTTTGATATGACATGACAATTATTAGACATTTTTATTAATATTTCAACAAATAGTACTGTTTTTTTTATGATTATTGTATTCCATCTTCAAGCCGATGAATTACCAATGTTATGTACGCCATTGTTGTCACATGCATCAGGCCATAAATTAAATAGTTTAAGTTTCTTCTCAATGTTAGATGCTTGTTATGTGGCAGTACTTTTTTAAATAAATAAATTAAGTAATGTGATCAGTGAGTAGTCTCCCCTTTTTGAAATCGAGCCCATTGATCTTCTCGCCGCATCTTCTCAGTAGGTCACGTTTTCGAACCGGTCGTAGATACTGCGAAGCACTACCCTCGCTAGGGCTGCTAGTCTTAGCAAACTCGCCAGGCTGAGCCCCACGAGCTAGCTTACACGTCCTGTGACGCTAGGAAAACCGCACGAGGCAACTAGCATAGGTTTTTCATATAACCACAATCACCATCATGTCATTGTCATTCGCAATAATTTCCGAAAACACACCGACGCTCGAAAGGTAAAAGTGACTAAGCGACAATAACTGCTTTGTACATAAATGATAGGCAATAACCATATTCGATGCGCAAAAAATATATATTACCAGGTCTATTAAAATCATTTCAATCCTACAGCTACTAGCTAGATTCGTTAAGATAAATTTTGTTTTCAGATATTTCAACTTTCAATTAGTCTATTGTAAAGTTCCTTTCGAGCGTCAACACGGAAACTCACATATTCGACTAAGAACTTGAATTTCTAAAGCGAATCCAAAACGTTCTAATTAATAAATAATAGTTTAAAAAAACTAACAAATTACGCTTTTGTAGAAAATCCAACTAAAAAATAGAAAACAAATTTTAATAAATTTGAATTAAAAATAGTGTAAGAAAAAGTTGCTTAATTGTAAAAAAGCGCGAGATGCTTTTCAGGATATTATCAAAATAACCCTTCTACTCCTATCTGTTCATAAAATATTTATAACTACTGATAGCATGCATCGGTCCTTAATAAGTATGTCAAATTTCGAGTTAATGCTCCAACGTTTTGAAGGGGGTCAAAATCATGTTCAAAGATTCCGTTACAAACATACATACGTCTGAAGCTAATAAAAGCGTATCAAAAACCAATCATAATAATCCATTGGTCTGTTTTAATATGAAACTGCAAGAACTAGCATTTAAATTCATTAAAACAAAAAAATCGCTTTTGTAATAACAATTTTGTTTGACATTTAGGTCTAAAGCACCTAAATAATTCCGGTAATACTAAACAATGACACAATATAGATTTATAGATTAGGTATTTAATGTTTTGTAATTTGGCCGAGTGAATCCGAAATTAAGAGCTAGTTTTAAACTTCAAAGCAAAACTTAAGCGTTGCGCTGTATCACGGTCGAAGAAATAATATTCAATTATTAATGTATAATCCTCGTAGACGCTACAGCGCCATCTAACCAACTGAGACTAGAACTGAAACTAGCAACTGAGTATTCAGCCACTAAAGCGTTTATTATTTTTGATTCACTGCGTGTTCCTTTTTAAACCATATATTCATGGTTGGTTTTAATTTAAATCAATGTTTTCAGTAGAGAAGTGTAGTTTAATATAGTTTCAATAGTTTCAAAACGTTTTACCGATTTTTTCCTGCTAGCTCTATTTATGAAAGTTGGTTAAAATTCAATTTGTTACGTATAGATGCTAATAAGGTAAGAACTCAAACTAATTACTACATACTAATTGAAACATATTTTGTTATTGATAAGCTTTGTGCTACTGCCATCTAGTGTCGAATATTTGTTAATAGAAAAAAATCTGATAGTTTTTCTATTTGTCGCTAGATGAGAGTAACAAACTAACAAGTTTACATACAGTCAAAATAAATTGTTACATTAATATCTTACGTTTTATGTAAATGTGTCCTTTATGTAGTAAATCTAATTAAATTATAAATATATTTTGTTATTTTAATCTAGTATTTTTTTTCAACATTTGCTTTGTTATTCTAGAAGTATGACATTTTGACATTTGACATTTAAATCAAATTCCAGCATGTACTAACGCAACAATGTTTTGATTATTTTCGATAAGCAATGAATAACCCTTCCGAAATTATGTAATGGAACAAAAAAAGAACGAAGTGTAATAAAATTATGATAATTTAAAACAAATATAATTTACTCAGTATCCGCGATGGAGCGATTATACGCATTAGGCGTGTCCTGTATTGAATTTGTTCAAGATTGGTAAAAGTATAACTTGCTTATAAACTCTGCCGCATCATTGCTAGAGCCATGAATACAACCACCCATTTTCTTAAATCATCAGCACTTAATTTGAACAGAAAAAACCGGATAGTTGTTCTATTTTCACGAACAAACTACAACTTCATGTTTTATTGACATTTTTATTCGGCGTCTCAAATACTGAAGGCTGAAGTTAAATAATCTGTCAATATTTAGACTAGATAGTAAAACGCACTAAGGCTAAATCATATTTTAATGTAATATAAAAATTCATATTTTCAGTTTTTTGATTTATGAAATTTAATCTTAATATAAATAAACATTAAAACCTCTTTTGTTAATAAAAAATAAAAAAAATCGCAAATCATGTTAGTAGTAAAGTACATTGCATCACAAAACCATACAATATTGTTATAAGTAGGGAGAAAAAATTCAATATTCATCTGGTTGCAAATCAATTATGAAAAGTTAGCTGATGTAGCTATTATTCTAATATGATTTTTATCTTTTTACTTTTAGTCAGTATTGGGATCACTAAGGAGGCTTTGATCTCATAAATAAATTAGAATATTTAATTAAAATAGCAGTTATATTGATTCCTGACTTGATAAACTTTAAACTGTACTCAGGTTTCATAGCATTTAAGTTAATAAAAAAAGTATAAAAAGTATAGTCTTAATTCACAATATTTTTCTTGGTATTTGATCTTTTTTATTTCAATTACTAATTTTAGCTGTAGATGACTTAGTTCATTATAAATGGTTACCAATGTCTGACTTGCAAACAATCAAATGCAGAGGTTTTAAGCTATTTGTGAGATAGTTTCTCTTCTATGCAACACATCCTTGTTTTACTTTGCTCTACATTTCCAGGTTTGAAGGTTCTGAGGGTTACTTTAAACTAGTCAACCATGTCTCAAATCCACATCATATGACCGAGATACTATTCCCGCTGCTCTCAATCGTGGACTCTGTGTTTGCTGCTCAACTATTGCTCTGCATGGCCTTCGGTGGTTGGCTGAATGCTGTTATGAAATGGTGAACAATGATAATGTTTTAATGATAATGTGTAGGAAAATGAGAATGACCAAAAAACTTTTTTTATTTTTTTATTGATTGGATGTGCTCACAGCCCACCTGGTATTAAGTGGTTACTGGAGCCCATAGACATCTATAACTGAAATGCGCCACCCACATTGAAATATATGTTCTAAGGTCTCAAGTATAGTTACAACGGCTGTCCCACCCTTCAAACCGAAACGCATTACTGCTTCACGGCAGAAATAGCCAGGGTGGTGGTACCTACCCGTGCAGACTCACAAGAGGTCCTACCACCAGTTATTACGCAAATTATAATTTTTTTAAACTGTGGAGATGATTTAAGTGTTGAGTGGTTTTATCGACATAACCTGGATGAAACAAACTCTATTTCTCTTTGATAGTCACATAAAATAACTCTTATTTGAGAAAGAGGTTTATGACCTACCTGGTGTTCAGTGGTTACCAGAGATCACAGATCACACAATGTGAATGCATAAAGCTAAGCAATAAATAAAGTTAGAATAATTACATACAAGTCATATTGAACATTCCTCCCTGTTGTTATTTAAACACATTGAATATGTTTTTTTTATTGCATGCACTAATGAACAAACTAATGGCCCATCTACTGTTAAGTGATTACCAGAGCCCATAGCCATACACATTTTTTTTTGTTTTTTTTTTTACAATTTTATTCTATAATTAGATTTATTATTAGAACACTGACAGGTGTTGTTCAATATAAGTATAACAAGAGCCTTATCCTTTGGGTTAAGGCTTCTTTTTTGACTTTGATGTGTTCTTTGAAAGGAATTATTGTATGTTGATTATACTGTGGAACTGTGACAATTCAGGAAGATTTTCCAGAACAATTAAAATGTGTTCTATGCTCTTACTTGTTTGTGTGAATATAATTTAACTACTTGTTGGTGTGAATATAATTTAAGTACTTGTTGGTGTAAATTATATATACAGTGAATCCATAGAACTAATATCCCTAAATGGTGGCTTACTGGTGGTAGGACCTCTCGTGAGTCCACGCGGGTAGGTATCACCGCCCTGCCTATTTCTGCAGTGAAGCAGTAATGCGTTTCGGTTTGAAGGGTGGGGCAACGGTTGTAACTATACTAAGAACTTATATCACAAGTTGGGTGGTGCATTTACGTTGTAGATGTCCATGGGCTCCAGTAACCACTTAACACCAGGTGGGCTGTGAGCTCATCCACCAATCTAAGAAATAAAAAAAAAAAAATTGATTTACTGGTATTAATTATTTTATACTTTTCCTATTTGCAAAGGTGGCTTCTAGAAGACCGACCCTATTGGTGGGTGAGGGAGACTTCGTTCTATGATGGTATCCACCGTCCAAGACTGCGACAATACCCACAGACTTGTGAAACGGGTCCGGGCAGCCCCTCAGGACACACAGCGACCGCTAGTGCTCTGCTTGTACTCTTCTTAATGTGGGCAGAACATTTCATGAATGACAGGTATGATTTCAGAAGGATAGACTGATAAGTGGTGGTAGGACCTCTTGTGAGTCCGCACGGGTACGTACTACCGCTCCGCCTGTTTCTGCCGTGAATCAGTAATGTGTTTCAGTTTGAAGGGTGGGGCCGCTGTTGTAACTATACTTGAGACCTTAGGACTTATATCTCAAAGCGGGTAGTAACCACATAACGTCTAAAAAAAAAACTTGCTTCCAGAAAGTTCCGCCTCTGGTGGTGGAAATACGTCGGCTACACGGTGTTCGTGGTGGGTCTTGGGTCCGTGATGCTGGCCAGGATGTACGTGGCCACCCATTTCCCGCACCAGTGTATTCTCGGGGCGCTGATTGGTGAGATGTACTGCTTCTGCTAGATTGTACGGGTGGTTCTGAAGGTCAGAACGAGCCACCTCCTCTCCCTCCTGGTTTTTTATTGCTTAGATGGGTGGACGAGCTCATAGCCCACCTGGTATAAAGTGGTTACTGGAGCCCATAGACATTTATAACGTAATTCCGCCGCCCACCCGAGATATGAGTTCTAAGGTCTCAGTATAGCTACAACGGCTGGCCCACCCTTCAAACCGAAACGCATCACTGCTTCATGGCAGAAACAGGCAGGACAGTGGTAGCTACCCGTGCGGACTCACAAGAGGTTCTACCACCAGTAGTACAATTTTTTACGGTTTCACTTCGGCCACGTGTGAATTGCGGACATGTTTTTTTTAATTTTTTAGTGTATTGAAACGTGTTTGCTGTCCACAGTTTTTTTTTGAAGTGAAACTTCTTTAGGCGCATGAGGGTAAAATTTTTACAGAACGTCACGAAGGTATGCAACGGATGTGACGTCAAACTACTATTGAAATTAAGTACTTGTCAAATGTCAGTAGTAGTAGTTGTTGTATTTTTTCAACTGGAAAGGCAAATGTATCATACCATACAGCCTAATATTTTATAATTTTTTTGTGATAAAGGTTAATAGGAATTGAAATGAAAGGAAAATAATTTGGAACATTAATCAAATAGCATGAAATTAAATTAGTCAATTCAATTGGCAAAATATTAGTCATTTACAATTTAGAAATCTAAACATAATGTGACTGTCAACACTGAGGTTTGAGATTGACATTTGACAGACTTTTGGCGGGAACATATCTTCCTTTTTCCCTTCCTCTAAGTCTCGGAAATCTAAAGTTTTAGATTTGTATAAATATAAGCAAGACTTATAAATTAGTTCACCAAAAAAGTTTCACTTCTGACATGTGTACTTTGTACGCACGCATTTTTTTTTTATAAGTATATGTACTATCTGCCCAATGTGTTAATTGCTCAAAGACGGCGAAATATCGATGGTGAAAACATTAATTATCCAGGTTCGTTCATGGCCCCGGCCCTCTGTCTGTACGTGTCGGACCCCTGCATCTGGCAGTGGGGGGGGCGCGCGGGGACCGAGGGGGGCGCGCTGATCCGCCGCCACGCGCTCGCCGCCGGCATCGCCACTGTCATTGCCGTCCTCACCTACTACGGCCTAGTGGCGTGCGGATGCGATCCCCAGTACACCATCAAACTGGTAATGGGACTATGTGACCTTTCTCGTTCTCCAGAGATATTTAGTGATTGTCATTGTTGGCGAGCATACGGCCCAACTGATGGCGAGTGGTTACCGTCGCCCATGGACTTCAGCAATGCCAGGGACAGAGCCAAGCCGCTGCCTGCCGTCAATTGTGAAGTTTATCCTGTATGAATTATTTTGCGGTGTAAATAGGCCGAATGATGGGACCTAGTTCGCAGTGTGCCACGTCATCAATGACGTAAGCGACACGAGACTGTGACGATTCATGTTTGAGGTCTTTGTCCAGCAGTGAAGATCTAACGACTGTTGGTGACTTTTTTCCCCTGGCATTGTCAATGCTTGTGTAGTTGGAGGTGGGTATTTGCCATCAACCGGGCTGTGTGGGTTTGAATAGAAAAACTGCGAATCTCTGCCGGAACTGACGGACAATATGCGCTCCGACTAAAGACGTGTAGTGTCTTTTTTGGATGGGTGAACGAGCTCACAGCCTATCTGATGTTAAGCGGTTACTGGAGCCCATAGACATCTACAACGTAAATGCGTCACCCACCTTGAGATATCAGTTCTAAGGTCTCAGTATAGTTACAACGGCTGCCCCACCCTTCAAACCGAAACGCATTACTGCTTCACGGCAGAAATAGGTGGGGTGGTGGTACCTACCAGTAATAATAAGTTGTTGAATTTCTTGCTATTAACAGAGGTTGGCATAGAACCTCGTCTCGTAGGATCTAAGGGTTTCACCGCAGAATGAATCGTAGCTGTCTCTGAAGATCATACTAACATTCAATTGCTTAAGCTCACGGATACTCACAACGGGAACCGCCACTTGCTCTGAGATCCTAGCAGGTCTTCGTTATTATTAACAACCCGCTTCTAATAGCTTTGTATGGCTGTATCTAACGGTATATTTGAAGGTCATTTTCGCCGACTTCTAAATGTCAACTTGACAATTTTCGCATACGCGTCAAGGACAGTGATAATGATACAATAGTTTAATAACTTTCCTCCAGGATCAAGATCGTTTGGTAGGAGTAAGGGGGCGTCCATTAATAACGTGAGGTGTTTTGGGGGGGAGGGGATCAAGCTAAATCTTTCCAAATGTCACTTACGGGGGAGGGGGGCTCTTGCAAGTTTTTTTTGGGTAGCAAGTGTTGAATTAAATGAAAGTTTGGGGAGGCTTAAACGACAAAGGGAAGATCTTCCACCGAGCGGGTGATATTGCTCATTAGACCGACGGTCCGAATGTTGTTGTTCGGAACTTGTATATATGCGCTTTATCTTGAAAATGTCGTCGCGAGATTCAGGCATCTGTCAATTATCTTGCGTTGTATGATGGCTACCCGCCACAAAAGTATAGCGGTTTTACAAAACGGTATTTTTATTTGCGAGAGTACTATCATAGACCCGGAAAAGGAATCACAGACTTACATAGATTATATTAAAGTATAAACTAGAGATATACTCATCACACCAATAGACTATAAAGTAGGGTTTAACTTTCTAATATCAACAGCAAATTTTTTTTTTCTCAATAATCCAACACGTTTACCGTCCAAATAGAAGTTTTGAAGAATCTCGCGTGAGATTAGAGGAGGGGGGGAGGGATTTGAGAAAAATCTTACGATATCTCACCGTGGGGGGAGAGGGGCTTAAAAAATTCTCAAAAACGCCTCACGTAATTAACGGACCCCCCTTAAGTAATCAAAATAATGACGTCACGGTTTTGTTATTGCGCAATGTTTGTTTCCTTCGCACGGGAGTTTTGTAGTTGAAATAGTCAGGACCGTGGAACCTATCCGTGCGGGGTTCAGCTAACTTCTTTTTTTTTTATTGCTCTTGTAGGCAGACGAGCATACGGCCCACCTGATGGTGAGTGGTTACCGTTGCCTATAGACTTCAGCAATGCCAGGGGCGCAGCCAAGCCGCTGTCTACCTAACTTAAGAGTAATCTCGTAATCAAATTTTGCAGGCTTTCCGTTGGTGTGAGACTCCTGAAGATATCCACGTTTCCACCACCCCGCTGTATGCCCTGGTCGAATCGACAGCTTACCTCCTCGGCTGGGCGCTGACCGTGACGCCGGCCGTCGCAAGGTACGGCGTTCGGTTCCACTCAATTTATGTTTTTTTTTAGCTGAGCAACCGCCGTTATCGGTCCATGGACATCACTAGGTGGATGCGGTGCGGTTTCCTATACTTCAAAATCGGAACTTTTTTTTTTATTTCTTTGATGTGTGGACGAACTCACCTGGTGTTAAGTGGTTACTGGAGCCCATAGACATCTACAACATAAATACGTCACCGACCTTGAGATATAACTTTTAAGGTCTCAATATAGTTACAACGGCTGGCCCACCCTTCAAACCGAAACGCATTACTGCTTCACGGCAGAAATAGGCGGGGCGGTGGTACTTACCCGCGCGGATTCACAACAGGTCCTACCACCAGTAATTACGCAAATTATAATTTTACGAGTTTGATTTTTATTACACGATGTTATTCCTTCACCGTGGAAGTCAGTCGTGAATATTTGTCAAGTACGTATTTCATTAGAAAAATTGGTAACCGCCTGCGGGATTCGTACACCGTGGCATTGTATTATCGGTCCATAGACATCACTAGGTGGATGTGGCGCGGCTGGTTAACAAGTTTCCTATACTTCAAAATCGGAACTTCACACCCACTTGGGGAGCAGTGTGCTCTACTAAAACATTGGAATCTCTAATGATATTAATGATGACCAGGGACAAGTCTCGTACGGTCGTCTGGCCCCAAAACTAGGATCAACTGAATTACGGGAGCCATATCCTTATATACGTTTTAATGTATAAATAAATAGCAGAAAAAGATAACAGAAAAGTAAATCATCACAATAATATTTGTTCAATGTGAAAATCGAAGCCACGACCCTCGGTCACGTAATTAGAGACGCTAATCACTGCTCCATCCAGTCAATAAAAACTTTATACCATATTTAGGTATCATAACTTTTAATCTTTTTCCCAACGCAGGTATCGACACAACTCTAAAGACAGATCGATACTAATATCGATATTCGCGACATCCCTAGTCCTCTACGGCTATAAGCACGTGAAAGACAACATATGCACGTCGAATACTCTCCAGTATTACGCTGTGCATTACGCGCTGTGCTTCTTTAAGCCCATGCTGTTGCTCAGAGCGGTCCCGGCGATCGCCATGTGGCCATTTACGAAAAGCAAAAACGATTGAGTGAAGAGATTGAGTTTTCATATCGACTCTTGAAAGGCAAACTAGGTGACTAAGCGACAATAACTGCTTGGTACATAAATGATAGGCAATAACCGTATTCGATGCCCAAAAAAATATATATTTCTAGGTCTATTAAAATAATTTCAATCCTACAGCTAGATTCGTTAAAATAACATTTTTTTTCAGGTATTTCAACTTTAAATTAGTCTACTGTAAAGTTTACGCATTGTCGCTTTAGTCACGTTTGCCTCTCAAGCGTCGATATGAAAACATGGCGACCGGGAATCCCCTATGGCAAAGGATAAGAAAAAAAACCGCCTTTAACATAAAAAAAAAAAAAAGTTCTATTTGATCGGAAGAGTTTAATTGCTTATAACCCTATTTTCTGAGTGTATTCTCTTTATGAATAGTATTTCGTTTAACACTAAACATACTGGGTCAAATGACCCATTTTGACCCATTTTGCTATTGCACATTTGACTTCACGACTTTTCTACTACAGTTATTATACTTTTTTGTTTGTTTTGTTTTGTTTATTTTGAGTAATACTTGTCGTATACCGTTATCTACCCGTTATGGTAGAAATAGGTACCAGTAAGTGTTGGTATGATTAGTGTTAAAGACTCAGGCAAATATGATGGGGAAATAAAATTGAGTGCAAAATAAATCATTAACTTCTCCGTACAATTATTATTAATATTAGCACATTTACGTAATAATTGGAGGGTAGAGGTAAGGAGAACCGTCTCTGTGTGTGAAAAAGTGTCCGTTAAAATCTGCTAAATAAGGGTGGCGCTACTGTAGCAACCGGGTAAATTTTAAAAAAGGCGCTGAAAGTTATTAGAATAAGATGGAGAAATAAAAAAGGAAGAAGGAACTGTAAGCACTACAAAATCACAAAAAGTATTTTATTTAAAGCTGATAAGAAAATGCAATCGATGTCTCCACGTTTTACCACAGCAATAATTTTAGGTTATATTGACGAAATTAGTTTGGACTACGTAAACATGTGAGGTCTTGTATATTACACTGTCACTAACTACTCTAATCATTAAATATATATAAATTTCCTAACTCAGCATACTTCAATCAGTTAACGACTGCTCAATTCATTTCATACCCTGTGCCTATGCTAGCGCCATTCTGGAGGATTTTTGTACTGATATTTAGTGCTGAAAGTGGGACACTTTTTCAAGCTTCTCCCATATGAGACGGTTCTCCTTACCTCTACCCTCCATAGTAAAAACTATATCGAATTGCCTAGCTCCATCTAGTGTCGGTTGAGTGAAATGTCTTAACTTATCTCACTTAGTAATGTAATAACATTTGACTGCAAAATTGAGGAAGTAGTACCGAAAATTGACATAGATGACGTTTTATGAATAATTATAATAAGAATTATTATAAATTAGTAGCACAATATTTCGAAACTCGACAATAGATGGCAGCACGTGTCTTGTTTAAGTAACGCCATTTATGTGTAATACTTTGTCGAATCTTTATAAATGTATGCGAATAAAAATAAATACATGCATTTAGGATAATTTTACAAGAGAAGCATCGGGTAACCTAGTTTGTTTGTTTTTATGTTTAATGACTTAAAGAGTAAATTCCAATGGCACGTCGAAGCTGATACGCACAATTTTACTATTAATCTATACATATAAATATAATTGGATTGTCTGTTTGTAATATTTAAGCAACCGCTTTTTACATGTACACATACACCGAAATAACATTTTTTACAATTTGTGTCCGTCTGTCTGTTTGTTCCGGCTAACCTCTGGAACGGCTGGACCGATTTTGACGAGACTCACTGATAGGTAGTCTGTAACGATTTGTTTTTGTTTTCTGAAAATGAAGGTAATATTCAGGAATGTCTAAAAGTAAGCAAGACTACCCACAGTTAGTGTAATAATTGTGTTTTTTTTTTAAATGCGGGTACCTTGAGAAAGTTTTGCTCCTTTTTTTTTTAATAAAATTAATTACCAAAGATTATCCCCATAGATTAGAAGCTATTAATAAATATTTACTCAAAACATTTTTTTTTGTTTGCGGCAAACGGAAAATACACGGAAATGTCATGATTACTTTTTGACATTGTTATACTTTTTAATTTTGATGGTGATTTTTTTTAAGTGTTAATTCTTTGTTTTGTTTGAGGGTACGATTTTGTTATTTACAATCGGTTTGGTTTGTGATTGTTATATGAAGGGTAGAGATAAGGAGCGCCATCTCGTATAGGGGATAAGTTGCAAAAGTATTCGCCTGTAAAAGCTTTTTAAGCTTTCTTAATGTTCGAAAACCCAGTGAAATAGCGCTAGAGTAGGAAAAAGAAACAGGATATGACATAGTTACTATTAGGGTCTAATCGCGCGTTTATTGTTCTCAATTGTAATCATATAATTTCCAACTTTTCGAAATAGTTTACAAAACAGTCGAAAATATAGTTTTCAATTGTAATAATAAAGGCGAGCTTAAACTGTGAAAGTATTTTTTTATTTTATGTTTTTGACTCATAAAATACGATAAAATATCAATGACATGCTTTTTTTTGTTACGCCCTGGGCTTCGGGATAAATAAAAATTCTACCGAAGTACAAATAAAAACTAAAGGAACACTTTAAAATTCTCAATTCACATCTTCCGCTTCGCTTCATATGATCCGTTAGCTGTTTCGCGTCGAGTAGAATCGCTAACTCACTGACTGCGTGCCATCTCTGCAACGCTTTTATAGTCGATACGACATCCCTAGATTTATCGAGAGCATTCTGGGCAGGTCGAGTAGCTTCGATGTGTGTTTCGTTGTGTGCTGTCTGACAATAGATGGCGTTGTACACATCGAGCTTTCTCGATGCTACGAGTTTCTTTGATATTCGTTTCGGCTATTCGGCGATAGATGGCGTTACTTTTACGGGCGTAGCACTTTCTTCATAAGGAATTTGTGCACTAATAACACGGGTCAACACCAAATTTGACTTTGATTGCAAAGCATAAAATTTCGATATTTTAGATCGTAATTAGACGAAAAAAAAAATACATGGCGTGAAACAGTTTGCTTTTGAACTTTAATAAATTGACCACATATGAAACAAAATGCATCTTTTTTTTTCCAACCTAAGCTGGTAGCCTTGAGAGGCTATTCCAGCGTAACCTTAACTAGTAGGTGAGCTCACGGGGCTCAAACCTGACGACGTTGCCAACACGAACCCTACCAAGAGTCGTGCTTCGCAGAATCTACCACCGGATCGGAAACGCGACCCACTGAGAAGATCTGGCGAGAAACTCAGTGGGCTCTGTCTGAGGGATTAATTTACTCGTCGAGCCCTTCGTCGCAAGCGACGGGTTCGACGAGAACGATGACCGGTGCTTGAGGTACCTAAAAGCACCGTTAGTGGATCGGGAGGATCCGAAATGACGTGTTTTGGGCGACGTCGACTGCTTTCCATTCTTTCCGCAGGATCGGGAATGTAGTTACCGGCGGCCACGATGAGAGGGTTCTCGTGTCGTGCCGCTTTATCGAAGTGGAAAATGCATCAGCATCGTATTTACACTTTCGTGACATTTTAAGTTTTTCTGGGCTTGTACAAAATACCTGATCGCTGTTTATGACTCGAGTGCCATCTAGTGGCACTGTGAATGAATTTTTTTTTGTAGAGCTGTGTAATATATGACAGAGACTTGGCGGGAAGTGGGACACTTTTTCAAGTTTATCCCATACGAGACGGTTCTCCTTACCTCTACCCTCCATAATTAATACGTTTTATTTGGCAAATTAAATAAATGGGTAAAATAAAGTTATTCAAATAAATTTCTTGTTTTATTTCGATTAAAAGAACGTTATGTTTATTATTACATTGATTTTGATTATTGATTTGATTATTACATTAAATTGATTACTTAATACATACAATTAAGTAATCAATTTGATTCATTGTAATCAATGAAGCGCGCCTTATTACCAATTAATACGGGTATTATACGCGTTTGATTTTAATCTTGCTATGGGGCAATGCTGCCGATGTCGAAACGATTTTCATCCAGCAGAAGAGGGCTACTCGTGCTATTTATAATATATTAACGGTAGGCAGCGGCTTGGCTCTGCCCCTGGCATTGCTGAAGTCCATGGGCGACGGTAACCACTCACCATCAGGTGGGCCGTATGCTCGTCTGCCTACAAGGGCAATAAAAAAAAAATGCACCCGAGGGAATCCTTGAGGGACAAGTTTAAGGAAATCAAAACTCTAAGTTTAGCGTCCCAATACATTTTTGAAAATTTATTGTACGTGCGTAAAAACATTGAAGAATTCCCCAGAGTCTGCGATTTGCATAATGTGAACACTAGGAACAAACATAGGCTTGCGTTGCCGGCGGCTCGAATTAAGAAAATAAGCAACTCTTTTAGGGGGCTGGGTTTTTAACAAGATCCCACAAAACGTTCAATTACTACCTGTTCATAGATTTAAGAAAACTGTCAGGGAACGTTTGTGCAACAAGGCATATTATAAAGTTAAGGATTATTTAGGTACTAGATGGCACTACGTGGGAATGAGGCGTTCGCTCCGGGCCTTCATTTTTCTTATTTAATTTTTAATTTTTTTAATTGTATTTTTTGATTTGTTTTTTCGTTTATTGTAAATATTTTAACTTATTTAAAAAAAAAATTGAGATAAAACAAAAAAAAGTCCGCTGAGTTTGTTTCGCCGGTTCTTCTCAGGACTGTGGCTTTTTTTGGAACCGGTGGTAGAGTTAACATTGTTATTTATATTTTGACATTCAACAAGTGTGTTATATTGACATCTAAGTTGAAATAAATGATTTTGAATTTGAATTTGAATTGTGAACAAAAATTGGTACCTACATGCCTGCGGGATTTGAATCTTTTCCCCCTACTTACCTTGTTGATAGCCTAAGGTACTAGTCGCGCTCGGTTTGTTAGAGGTTCTTTACCTCACCATAACCCAACCCCCTATAAAAATTCCCCCCAAAATACCTTTTTTTTTAACACTGGGGAATCTATTTACGGATACCCGGTCGAGGGGGATAACGGACTCCGGCGCCACCAGAGAGAAAGAGAGAGGGGGGCCAAGGTGAGAATAATAATAATAACAAAGTTTA